AAATCGTACAAGAGGTCATTTCGAAACATCGAATTTTTACTTTATTTAATGTTATATGGATAAATCATAGAAGAGCCTATTTATACTATTTGCAGTATAGGTGCGTCTTCACATAAAAAATTGAAATGAAAGCACATCTCTGGAACTAATCTTAAAATGGTGAAAAATATCTTTAAATATTAAGAGAAAGACTTTGTAGAAATATTTCAAATGTTACTGTGTGAAAGTTGACGATTTAGTATTATTAATCAAAATTTAATTATTTCGAGAAATATAGTCCATATAAGTGTTTCAGGGAAGTGATTTTGTCCATTTCAACATTGAATTCTGCTCTTTTGACATGGAATGTAGTACATTAAAAGGTTATATTAGCTTGGTTTAGTGACAGATATATTTTTTTAAAACGCATTTTTATCTATTAACCTAATTTCAAATAGTGTTCCTATTTTAAAAAAATATTATCAAAAATTATTGTTTTGCAATAATTATGACTTTAAACCATGAAAAAAAATAATGAATATATAAATCACTCGGTTGTTAGGATATATTTGAAGAATTGTTAATTACTAAGTCATTAAGTGTATAAAAAATATTTTATTTTCAAAAATATAGTAGAACTTTTAAAGGGCAAAACTGTATCAAGTGTAGTGCTAATTGAATATTGAAATATGCAGCTTAAGTTAACAACAATATTACACAAAGCAAAAGGAGTGAAAATATTATTTACGATTTATAATCATGAAAATCAATTGATAAATAATAGCAATTTTACATTGAAATAAAAATCAATTTAATTTTCTTATTCTTTTATTGAAAAGATAAATCAGTTTGATAATCTAAGAAAATGGGTGTAATACGGAATCGTGATATTGAGACAAATGTTTTTCTTTACTACTTATAAACGACTTTGTGAATTCGGAAGTTCTCAGGTTCGAGGTGCGCGAGACAATATTTTTTCGCAAGTTTGTTGACCGCTGTACTGGATGAAATATTATACCTGGGTAGCAGAGAAAGCACTAATCTTGTCAGTAGCTGATATTTATGCTCGCAAACTTCCTTTTAACTCGAACAACGTTATTCTACAAACATGGTTTCGCGGTTATTATGCCAAAAATTGAGGTTGATTTTATCAGTTTTACATTTTACGCAAGGAGCACAAATGTTAATAATATGCGACTTTCTACCAATCAGTGCTTGTGTAAAGGAATGTTATTTTGTCTTGTTATAGAAGAGATACAGCATACCGGTTTCCACTTATTTTTACTTTCAATAAGTGATTTAATGTGATGTGAAAAGCTGGCTTAATTAATGAAAAAATTCTTTTATTTTTTAGAAATCGAACAGTTAAGCCAAACCGATTTCGCTATACAATCATCCAGTCACTTGACAAAACCTTTTATCGGCATTAAGTGTTTTAAAATCTCGCCCTTAAAGAACTGTCCATATTTTAATTGGACCAAAATTTTTGTACTTTAAAAATTTAGAAAACCGGCAGTCTTCTTCAAGTCAAAGTTTTCCTCAAGACTAATAATGAATGAATGTGAAATGATGAACAAGTATCTCATAATTTCCGTATTACATTATTACCAATTTTATAAACTCAGCATTGACATGAGTGTTTAGCTGTCAAATTGACGTCTGTATCTAGGGGGCGTTAACAGAAATCCACAGCGTTACTATAAAAATGTTTAAAGATGAGTTATGCATGAGGGGTGGTCACTATTAGACTAATATAATTTGGCCTACACAAATCCTCCCTTCATCAAAGCAGGTTATTAATACATTTCCTCTAATATATAATCGGATTAACGGAGTGTGCGATAAACTTAACTCCACGTGGTGCACTCTGGGCAACGTATAATCATACGGCAAAAAGTCTATTAACTGGCAGTTGACTTCTCACTTCAAACTACCATCACCCCCTTTGTATGTCATATTCGACCCCTACCACAGTACTCATTTTACCCTTTCTGAGCCTTTGTGTCTGCCTGTTTCTTATACATCTGTGAATCACTCTTCTATTCCCCCTCTTGAATTCTTCTCACTTTGATGTTCCTCCTTCCCTCTGTGAAGCCCGAAGTCAACTAAAGGGCTAATGATAACTATCAAAACGCCTGTCATTTGTTATAAATAAATAAATAATCTTATTAATAATTTGATAAGACAACTTCGGATTAGCTTTACATTTTCTGGCTTCATCTTCCTCTCTCTCTATCTCTTAGTGTGAATAGTTAGCTTGCAATATGTAGGTAGCGCTTTCTAATCAGTAGTACGGGATAGGAGAGTCATGTGTAGCGAGCGTGGACAACGGAGCAGTTGCTAAAATAACCCCATTTGAATACTCTTGATCAAACCCCTTGTGACTCTTTTTAGTAATCTTGAGAAAACCTTGATGTTCAAGAGACAACTTTGAAAACAAACCGCACATATTTTCTAATAAATGATAAGCAACAATAAATAGCAATAAATGCATATTTAGAGTTTTCATCACTAATATATATATATATATATTTATATCATGACTGTATAAATAATGTCATTATTGGCTGAATCAATTCTATACGCGTGTTCAAATGAAGACTTAATACCTCCAATTTATATTGTAATTAAGTAAACAGGAGATTGCATATTTTTCCATTTCTCATTATAATAAACTTTAGGTTACTTCTGAAATAAGGAAAGGTTTTCTCTAACCCATCTAAATTAGAAAATCATTTAATTTAAGTTTTAAATGTGAACTTGGGGGAGGAAAAATTTAGGACAATTTATTCAAAATATTTCTGGTGTTCTTTATCAACAACCATGAACAATAATTGATAAATTGAAGCATGCATTAAGTATAAAATTTAATTAGCATATACCATAGACAAATTAAGGTGAAATTAAAATAGTGCCCTATCAAAACTAAAAATTCGTAATATGCTTAACCAAATTATCATGGGTATATTTTAAATTGTCAAAGATTGAGTGTTTGAAGGTGTTCAATAAAGAGCATATTCACAGCCTTTCTAATAGTGAATGGAGATGTAAATAGTATTAAAATACGCAAAATTCGGCATGAATTTGAGAGACATTTTCTTTCTAAAATCGCATTCACTGAAAATTTCAAAACAACAATAGAATTAATATCTTTCATGTCATTCTATCTTAAAAAGTTTTGCTTAACTGCGCCTACTGGGTTCAATAAATTAAACCAAAATGATAGTAAAATATAGGTACTTACTAATTAGGCAAACGCTTTCTGTTACGGCTATGCAACCTTTGCACTTGATTTCAGCTTTAATTGTCCAGATAATAATTTCTCCGAAGCAAATAAGGGAAAGTAATCCGGATATGCCAGTAAATGTGAGGATTATTAAATCGATAATGAAGAGACGTGGCCGCTTCATTAGGGGTTAAAAACCTCTGATTATACTCTTTTTCACTAACCATTCAAGTATTTCTGACAAGAATGCATATTATCACCTGCTAACCAATCAGGCAACCTCTATTTTTCTGTCCAATAGCTACTTAGCGATTCTCTAGAGAAGTCCAAATTAAACCCTAAATCATTAGGTCACTTGCGATAAAATAGAAATTATAATTATTCCTTACTTAGATAACAAATATTTCGCCTTCATTACTCTAATATCATTTATCAAGCGGCATATAAAAATAATCACGTGAACATTTTGGATGAGAAGGGAAATGAAAATTGCTGTAAAATCATAGTCAGAAATTTTGAAAGTTTTCTGATTGCCTTCGGCCTTATTAGACAAAATTTTTTCTAATTGTTTTGAAGAAAATCGTTGGCAGTCAGTTTCAAAAACGATTGGTAAATTTGACTCGATGGTAGAAACTCTCAATTCGTTCACGTTTTTTCCATGCCCTTCTATTTTCCTGATTTAGAGTTTGCATAAGAGAATCAGTAGCCTGTTAGAAACATTGGTGGAGGGTTAGCATTTTGAATTTAATTCGGCAGACATTAGACACGATAGAGTATTTGGAATTCGTTTGTTTCATGAAACGCAAGAATATTTCCGTATCAAGTGAATTTCAGTCATGACTCATTAATGAACTAATTCGCTGCAGACATGTTTGGTTTTAATGAGTTCTAATTATAACCTACTGCGTTAAAATTCCACATGTGTAAGAGAAAGACATTTTTACGTATTTCATTAATAACACTGGAACAAGTGCTTTCGATTCAGTAGAATTTGCCCTTGAAAGCAGATAATGAATTGTGACTGGGCTGCAATTATGGCTGTAGTAAAAGGTCATCTATTTCTTTCAAGTAAAACGTGCGCAAAGAAATCAACTAGGATATGTGAAGCGACAAATAGGAGATTGAATTAGTTAGATTTAGATTAGTTAAACTGCAATAATATGTCTTCATGTTTAGGACAACCCCTACCCACCCCAATCCCCGCACACCCACAACAAAGATTCAATGATCTTTTAAGCAGCCATCACTTCTTTGTAAAGTACTGTGTTGTTCGTCGTCAACCAATGTTACCTCGCAATGCTTTGATAATGATGGCGAATGATGCTTGTCCAATGTTTAAAAAGATTGTGTTTGAATAATGAGTTAGTAATGGAGCATTTAGTAATATATATATTTAGTCATTAAAGAGTAACTGAAAGCAATTCGAAACATCGAATGCCGCGTCTAAATCAACATAAAATTCGATCATTTTTCGAATGGTTAAAATAACTTTGCCCATAGTCGTCTCTATAAGCAACGCATAAGATTACCGATGGTTTGAAAGCCTGAGAGAATTTTATGACTCAAACTGGTGTGCAGTCATAACGCATGAACACCGACGTTTACTCAAATCAATCCAGACGAATTCACGAAATTCTGATATCAAAAAAGCTATATTACAAGCAAAATTCGTGATCTAAAAGCTTTACAATGAATAGGAATAATTATTATTATTCAAAATCTGGTAAAAGTTAATTAATGTGCACATGGATTGTGTAATAAAAAATTGGTAAGAGAAGCAAATTAGGGTAGTTCGATGGACAACGCTCTGTTGCGACTGGATTCTGAGATCGTCGTGTTGTCTATATTATGCCTTCATCTCCTAATATCTCAATTTATTCCAAACATGGAAACTCCGGTCACCATATTTTTGAATGATTCCGTAATTAAGAATTTGAGTCAGCGTGTGGAAGGTCTCCGATTTGATGATGATCTCTTCACCAGTGTCCTCACATCTCACATGCGTTTAGAAAAGTGAATAACACCAAACAGAGATTCAATGAGCTTTTAAGCAGCCAACAGCATACAATATCCGCTTTCAAATCAAGAGTAAAATTTTTGAATTGAGCTGGCGAAATGGAAGGTGAAAGTAAATCGGGTAGGCCAGAAGAAAGACGAATTCGGATCAAGGAGAAGAGGGTCACGCATATTGGGACAGAATGAAGCATATAACTTGCTAGTCACAAAGTCCCGATTAACACAGGCGGTCCTGATGATCATCATTTCGATTGTTTCGGATCAATGGATAATTTTACGAATTAGTCTATTATTTAAGATAAATTATCATGATAATTAAGGCATTTTTTGCACAAGATTCTGGATTCCAAAATTAAAAATCTTTATTTTCAATTTAATGTCAAATTTTTCAAGTCATTTCTGATTTTT